CAAGCAATGGCCGTGACTCATCCACATGGCTGACACTGACAAAGGTTCTACAATCTGAGGTACAGGATCTCAAGATAAATCCTGAGGGGATTTCACTGACCCAAAAACTACAATTCTTGTTGCATAGGTCTTGTTTTATCTTGGTCTTAACCTTCCAGCAGAAAAGTATAAAAATGAAGTATAAGAATCAAATCAATGCTGTTATGTTGAGTTGTAGGGGACTCAGGTCAACAATTTCTGACATTGCCAGTCTAGTGGAAGACCTAATACTATTATGGACTACTGGACACTTTTAGAATATTTTGCTCAGTTAACACACCTATAGTATTCAAATGATGGTATTAAACAAAAAAAGGTATACAGATGAATATCCATTTTGTATCTGCGTATTCAAAATGGTTTGGCTAAATATATAGCTACATTCTCTTAATGAATAGAGGGATTTATTCTAATAGTGTTTGTAAATAGGATATAATGTCTGTATATTTTACAGCAAATAACCACTAGGAAGAAGTATGCAAAGTGTTAATTATTGAAACTGTCCTACCAATTTGATTTGAAACTGTCTCATTGTTATTTGTTTCTCAATAAAATTATGGAGAAAAAAATTAAAAAAAAACATTCCAGTGGATAGAAATAATTCATTCCTATATTTGTTTTGTTTTGTTTTTTAAGGAACCAGGGATTGAACTCAGGCCCTTGCGCTTGCCAGGGGAGCGCTTGTTCCACTGAGCCATCTCCCCGGTCCTCATTCCTAGATTTGGATCTTGAAAAGCATATTGCAGAAATGTATTATTTTATGTCCCTTAAAAAGTCTAACTCACTGAGAGCTACTGTTTTTTTTCCCACATGGCACTGTAACACCGAGATGTGGATGAAGGTGAAATATAATTAAAGACTAGCAGTAACACCCACTTTTCCAACAAGGTTTCTCTACTCAGCTGAGACTCAGTAATCCTATTTTCAGCTTCCCTGGTACTGGGATTACAGGCATGCATCACCATGCCTGGTCTTGTGGGTTGGCTAGCATGACCTGGGCCAGGGCCAGTGAGACATGTGATGTCAGGGATTGAATCTCAGTCCCTGTACTTGCAGAAGCAGGCACTTAATCTGCGGAGCTATGACCCAGCCTTCAGCTTTAAGAAAAATATTTGTGCTCAAATTATTATTTTATTTTTTCTTTAAAGGTTTAAGTGAAGTGTACAATCAATTCCCCTTAGTGCTAGTGAAAAGTTTTAATTTTATAATGACTTTAATTTTAATTTATTTTATGTTTACATAGAAACTGAATTTCAGCTTTAATGAAACATTGCACACTCTAGATGATGGGTTAGTGAACTTGCGATCAATCACTGCTTTCTGTGTATTGTTAGGCCTTTACCCCTTAGACCAAGGCTGTGCAAGTTATTTTTATGACAAAAGTTTTTTGCCCATTGTTCTGAACCACTTAACTGATTAACTAGATTCTAGAAGCCTGGTCCCTGAGCATGTGTTGTTTGAGTGGGGCATAGCAGACATACCTTATCTCCTTCTCCTGATGGATTCTGATACAGAAAATCCTCCAAACCTCATCAATTTGAAAATCATTCTGTTGCCTGTGCTTTGCTGTGGCCCAGCCCCTTAAGTGTGGCCTTCTGCATCACACTTCTCCCAGCTTCCTCCATACCCTTATACAGCAAGGTGACCTCAAGTGGGAAACAATCCCCAGCATCTGCTTGGGGCTTTGATTTTGAGAGGATTATTTTATGCATCCTAACTCTTCAGGAAACTCCCTGCAGATGTGGAAAAGCCCTCACTGACCTCTTGTTAAAAGACAAACAGTCAGAAACCAGAAACACGACCAGGAAGATAAACAGCTGTTTAGACCTCAGCTGCCTGCCAGAATGGCCACATCTTCAGAAATGAGTCTTCCAGCTGTCTTCACTGGGGAGGCTGAGTCCAGAAGTTAGTTTGAAAAGATAGAGATGGCACAGCACATGTGCCACCCATTGTCTCCTTCAACCAAGACAGACATCACTAATCAATCACCACAATCTTCTCCTCTGAGCCTGAAATTAACCCCAAAACTCCTCTTCAAAAAGGGGTCCTGGCCAGACTCTGTTGCACGACACATAATCTGTTTACTACCCTGGGAGTCCTGAGAGCACATCTTTCAGAAATATGATATCTTCTGCCTTTGAAGAATTTAATTCATTGATGATTCTAATGGATATGAACTTTTTAAGGAGATGGGTTCTTGGTTCTAATCCTGAACAGAACGGGAAGTTATTTTCTTTTGAAATACCGTCTCCAAAGCCAACAATCCTGGTGGTAGGCAAAAAGCCATCCACTGGGAGAGAAGAAGAGGCTGTTGGTGTGGATGCCATGTGCATTTCCTGAGAGTGACCTATGTGTTAGGCGTGGCTCTAAGCCTCTTACAACCACTGTCTTATATAATTAATAAAAAATGATTCTGATGTTAAAGTGACCCAGGATCCAAGACTCATTTCTCAGATACAACATGCTTAACAAATGGGTGTAGCCAAAACCATACAAGACAGCTGCATACCAAGTGTGTACCCACCCACCCAGGACCCGAGTACCATGCATTCTGCTCAGGAAGGAGGGTTTTTCTGAAATGTGGCACAGGCCTGACCCATCTGTTCCACTCTGTAACTCGGCCACATTCTTGTTCTCAATGTGCAGCTTCAAAAAGCAGCAGACTTTGAAACCTATTCCCCCTTTGTCCTACACAGGGACAGTGCAGCTTCCTTGAAGGCTACACATTTATCTTCTCCCATATACTATATCTTCTGACAGTTGTGAGAGTTGTGAGGGCCATGAATACACCCAGCAACAAACCAGAAGCTGCAAAGAGGTTAGTTCAGAGAACTGGAGAAAGGGAGCTGTTTTGTTTCTTCTTCTGGACTTGGGTCAGACCCTGGCATGGGGAGACGTTTGCCCCAAGGATGGGCCAGCATTTGACCACAGCCTTTGCCAATGCCAAATTCAGTGTCATTTGGCTCTTGGAGATTTTCCATGGATTCTAGGTGACAGTGTTGCATCAGCTGTCCCTAGAGCTAGAGGATGAGAAAGCAACGAGAATGATGATGACACTAACAATAGAAATGTGTGCTACCAATTTTGTTGCGTGTTTAGTAAGCACACAGAACATGCACCAAATCTTTCCCACATGGGCTTCATCCTCAAACTCTCCTCTGACCTTTAATTCAGAAAGCCTGCTAAAGTTTACCTCTTAAGAGAAAGCGTTGTAGAGTAATCAGGCATTGGTTTCACTCCCAATTTGTGAAAAATTGAGAATTTCCCCTTGGCTTTTGGGTTACATATCATGAAGAAAAATTAGCCCTATGTATTTGGACTATCTTGTGGAAAAGAGCTGAATAAATTATCAGTTTATGGATGTTAAAAAAAGAAATAATACTTGGAAATCTATCAGAATGCAAATAATAGTTAGGTATTATTAAATTTTCTTTTTCTTCACAAATCTCTATCTCCCATGATAAGGACAATATTTATCATAATTAAGAGAAAATGCTTATGTTTTCTAGCACAACACACTTTATATGGCATTCATTTATTTTAGATTGCAATACAAAAAACATGAAAAAGTATTAAATGTTGTAATCAATTTCAGTGGAATTCAAAGTACAGTATACTACAAAGAAACTGTGCTACCTTTAGTTCACAATTACATAATATGAGGAAACTTTTAAAAATACTGCATTATATCAGCACTTCAGTGATAAACAAAAATTCCATTATCATTAAATTTATATATCACTATCACATAAAAAAATTTAAAAATCAAACAAGGTCTTGGACTGATTGATAGGCTTTCGACAGTGTTGCAGCAGAGAAACAGGCAGATGAAAAAAAGGCAAATGGGCTTTATTATAAAGGGAAAGGGACTTTATTACCTTTGAGGACATGGAGAGAATTTGGGAAGATAAGGAATTCTTTGGATTAGAACAAAGGGAGGCTGAGACTTTTATGGCCTTTTGTCATTGGTGGGATTTGAGGGGGATGTTTAAATATACCGGAGGAGCTGATTGGGGCCTTCCCTGAGGTGGCCGGAAAGGTTAAAGGAAATTGCACCCTGAGCTGAGTGGGAGAAGAAGCAGGGAAGATATGGGAAGATAAGCTGTTGTTTTACAGGATTCAACCATATTAGATGACTACCATAATTATTCAGCAATTTATACTAGGGTCATAACGTATCACTGATATTCTTCAATGTATTCTAATACACACACACACACACACACACACACACACACACACATGCATATAGTATTTAGGACAGGGTCTACAGGGTCTCACTAAGTAGAATGCACTCATAGTGATTCTTCTGGTTTCAGCCTCCCAAACACTGAGATTATTGGCATGCACCACCACAATGTCTCATTTGCAGTCTCAGTGGGCCCTGTGGCCAGTATGGCATCCTGGTGATTGAACACCCAGCACCTGCACTCTGCCTAAGTAGTCACTTTAGTCTGCTGAGGTATCTGGCCAGCCCTTCTAATATTTTTTCAAGCAGTCAAATTTCATTTCTATACCAAAATGATGAAGGCACAACTAGTGCAAGCAGATTTAAATCTTTAGTCTTCTGGCTGTATTATTTTAAAAAATTCAATGGTAATTGTTATTTTCTATTTTTCTAATAATTCTGATAGATTTCATGGCTATAATCTAATAACAACATAGAAAACAACTTCACAAAAAATAATACTGTTGCACTTAAATTAACAACATGCTTTAGCTAATTTACAACAACTTCCATATTTTGAGGACGTTTATTACAACAAGCTGGAAAGAATAAATTGATCCTGAAGTCACTTTTGAAAAACTATTTTAAGATAGGCTAACAAGAAATTATGCAACACAAGACTATTAGCGGTACAATGTTCAGGTTATAGGATAGGTTTTCTTTGTCTTTTAAAAATTAGGTTGAAGTTTCTTAGCTTCTCGTGTTTGAATTTTTAATTTTCTTGAAAAAGCTTTCAGCTTGCCTCATTTTTATTTGTGGTATGCACAGTTTCCATTATCTTTGCTGTCTGAATGTGCATACTGCTTATTTCTGTATACTAATAGGTGGATTTCTGGACACCATTATGTAAAATTTGACCAATGTGAAAGTCCTCATTAAGGATGGCACCTCCTTGTGGTTTTGGCTTTCCAGTCTTAGAAATGTCAGGAGAACTAAAGAAATTAAATAATGAAGTGTTAGTTTCATTCCCCCCTTCCTCCAAAAGCAGTTGTGTGACTCAGTGGTGTGACTGAGTGCCAGTAACAGTAACATCCTTTCCTGTGCTCCAATCTATCTCACAGCTTTTGTAATCTTCATTTTCTTACCTCCAAGTAAAGAAGGGATCATTGTGCTCTGGTTTTGAACTCATTATATATCTCTTCATCACCAGTTCGTTTCTGAAGTATGGATTGGATAAGAAATGAAATTCAAAGGTGTAACTTATAGGCTGGTCAGGCTAAGAGACCTTCAGGGGAATATCAGATAAGAACATCAGAATGGATTCATCATACTTCTGAAACCAAGCTTGTCAGCATTCTTTGAAGCTGTCAGCCAGTAGGCAGGATTGCCTCTGGGATCTTCCCTTTTAGGTTTTCCCTTCTAAGATATTTTCAGATTCACTTTCTTTAGGCCTTTCTTAGGGAGTCTGTTATGAGACTCACCATTTACCTCTTTCTTTTTTTAAATTTTTTTAGGGAAGAATCTAAAGGGTGTTTAGGGTCTCACTACTAGATCGGACTCATAGTGATCCACCTGTTTGAAGCCTCCCAACAGCTGGCATTAACAGGTGCGGGCTGCCACACCAAGTCTCATTTGCTGTCTCAGCACGCGGGTTGGGGGGGGGTGGGGGAGCGCATGGCAGGCCCGGTGATCTAACCTCTGGTCCCTAAACCTGCTTGCAGGCTCTCTAATCCCCTGAGCTACTCCGCCGGCCCTATCTCAGTAATTTCTTTCGGAACTTTCTTTTGTGTTGTCCTTGGGAGTTGCTTTATAAACTTCCTTTACTTCAGCTTTCATTTCATATTTTTCTCGAATTTTCTTCTTCCTTACCTTCTAAGGGATATGTTTGTCTGCCACCCCATTACTGCTGAACTCCTTATCTTGACTTCCATTCACATTCTTTTTCTGACGGCTCACATTCTGCACTGATTATTTGAAACTGTCATGCAGATAGGCTTATCTGTCTTATCTTTTGAGATCATGAATTGCTTTTAGGAACAGCGCGTTTATTTATGCTGAAGATTTCTGAGCGCCTGCACACTACTTCTAACCGCCTGTGGCAGCCTGTCTACAAAAGCTGTACCGGATGATGTCCGGCCGCTCACTTCTGTAAGACTCAGATACCCTCCTCTTTCTTTAAGAGCGGCTGGGGCTGCAACTTCTGCGAGAGCTACTGCTGTCAGTGTTCCCGGAATCATTTGCCGAGCTAGCCATCTCCTTTTCAGCAATCCACTGGGCAGCAGGATCCATGATCGTTTTAAGAACTGCTTCTGCCGTGTTTCAAGTTTGAAAACCTCCTCAAGTGATGACTAAGTGAATGACTACCGCTGACACCGCGCTCGAAGATGGGCAGAGAATGACTCACGGATGCCGGGCGCAGGCGGAGAAAACCCAAACTGGGAATTGGCAGACTACAGCAGTATCGGAGCAGAGTTGCACGGGGGCGCTGAGGTGGCAGGGATGGTGGAGACTTGGGCGACTGCCTGGGGGCAAGGCCGCTCCATGCTGCAGTTTTTTTTTCTCGGTTTTGATCCCGGGTCTATATTCTTTCAGCCCACTTTCCATTAATTTCGTTCCCAGGGTGCCTTTAGTTCGCCCCCCCCATTTGGCGGACAATCTTGATTGACAACTGCTATGACCAACGAATGGCCAAACCCTCGGAGCCTTTAGCTCCACCCTCCGTCCTATACACTCTTTGGTGGCTGAGACGCAAACCTTTGCAAAATGCTTCCCTTGTGCAACCTTTCAGGTTTACAAACATATATATGTATTTTTTTAAGCGCTGACATGCAGCAGAAATAAGATCTGTAGTTTCTAACTAGGAAAAAAAAGAGTGTTATTTCTTCTCCCAGCGGTCCATCGTGAATTCCGTTTACTTGGTCACAGGTCGCTTAAAAAATCCTGTTTATATATTTTAAAAATGGATATAAATGTTCTAATGGCGTCATTGGATAGTGTGACTACGGATGTTTAATTTTTCCTCGCTAAATACCTCACGAGCATGTAGTGTTACAATGTAAAATGGGACTGTCATTTATTGGCAGAGGGAGGAGGGGCTAGACAGCAAGCAAATTACAATCCACGCAGCAGATTTAATAAGTGCTGTGTGCGATGCTTGGCAAGCCTGGTTTATACCGGTCTACAAGGTTTGCGAACCCATGTTGCCGTGAGTCAGCTTCATCATTTTTATTATATTTCTCTTTTTAAATTGTCATACAATGTGCCCCAAGCTGCCTGCTAAAGAAGCATTTTTCAGTGTTTGCAACAACATTTTTAAATAAAGCAAAGGGGTATTAAAATGTTAGTGTTATTACAAAGCAGACGGTATTTTTATACATTTTGCAGCAGGTTGCAACTCCACCAACTGCTGGATGGGAGGGGTAATTTCGTGCTAATTGAAATTTCATCCTCTGTCAGTGTATACGATATCATCTGCCATCAAATTTATTTTAATGTTGTAAAATGTTGACCATATTAAATGATCATTTACAAGACAGTAGGATGATCCAAATTTGCAAAATGAAATTTTAAAACAGATGTTTATTATTTTTATTTACAGGATTCTTTTCTGCTACAGAACTTTTCTCATGGTACAACACAAAAGACCTGTGTTTACTTTTCATTGAAAGGTAAGGAATGTATTTAGCACATTTTTATGAAAGACAAGAATTACTCATTTGTATCTGAATATGCATTCACAGAATATAGCCTTTTGTATATTTTATGGAAACATTTTATAATATTTCTATAAAAGCAGAAAAATCCACAAAGCTGATTTGGCAGAAAACATAGAAAATTATATAAAATACAAAATGTGATGAATTATTAATCTCAAATGAGGAAAAATGATAAAGTTAGATTAACTTGTATACTACTTTGTATTATAGAATTTGTGTTTTACCATTTAGTCACGCAACATTTTTCTAATTTGTAAATGAATTTAATTTTGTTGTTTACGCCTGTCAAAGTGAGTGAGAATTGTAAAGGGAATCTTGCAATAGACAAAATTGCAATGATAATAAAACAGTATAACAGCAAAGTGATAAGCATTGTAATCATTCTGATGCATTTCTTTCCAGAACTTTCCTTGAACATATATGCTACTTCAAATATAGGTATACAATATTATCTATATCACACTTCACTGTTTCTTTTACTGATTTATCAATTGTTGTGACAGTGTTTTCATGGGAAATGATCAATATTTTTTAATAGATGCATATGGCATTTGAATTAGTTGCCTTAATTTATTCAACCAGATTTCAGTTGGAGAGAAGGTATATTCACATCAGTTCTTTGACAATTTTCCTTGCAAAAAAAAAAATTGTCTCTAAATACTGAAAGCATGTATATCTCCACAGTTGACAAAATTAATATGGAATAAATTCCTAAAAATGAGAGATGTTGAATTAAACTGCATACATATTTTATTATTCTATGTATGTACCAGACTGTCTTATACTTTTATCAGAATTTAAGTATACAGAAAATCATTTATTGAATTATTCATCTAATAAGTTTTTGTGTCTGTTACATGAAAGAGACACTAGTAGAGTATTGTAATATAATGGTAGATAAAACTTACTGCAAATATATTTTTATTTTATAATTATAATAATCTATGCTGTAGAAACAATGTAAATAAATGATTTATACTATAAATATTGTTCTGCAGATTATTACTGGGTTAAAATAATGGATGTTTTTAATGTATGTTCTTATACTTTCATAGTATTTTTAACTTACATGTTTAAGTCTTACATCATGAGGAATTAGACTGTGATTCAAAGATGAGTTAGGGATCTAGACTTTTAAATTTTATTTTTAATTAGATAGCTAATTCAGTGTGAATGATTTATTGAACAATCCATCTATAGTATCCTTTTTCAAATGCCACCTTTGCCATATTAATTGCATTGACCAGATCAATTTTTAAATTATCTAGTCTGGTCTCTTATCCACAAATTTCCTATGAGTAACTAATGAAGCAATTTTAAAATAACTTTATGTTTTCTGAAAATAATGTGTGTCAGTTGATAAAAGTGTCTACTGAAATACAAAGAAGAAATTAAATGTAATTATAAAACCACCAGTTGCTATTCACATTTAAATGAATATATGTGAAATTTCTCAAAATATTCACATTTCTGATGTATGATGAGATTCAATGTCATTTCATATGTTTATTATCTATTTAAAATTATCTAATTTGATAATTAAAAATATAGTAATGGAAAAATTAGAAAAACATCATGCAGGGCTGAAGACAGTGCCCGAAATCTAGTAATTACCCAATATTTAGAAAATACACATTATACTTGATGATGCCACCCCCAAAAGATTGTTTATTGATATTCTTCACTGATTCCTCATTGAATTAAGAAAGAAAGTAATCAGTAGTGAAATCTTCAAGATAAAGTGACTTTGGCCTTGATTTAAGATAACTGACTCTGAGTACCTTGACTTGTGATACTGGACAAATGGGACTCAGTTTCAACAATCTTTTTTTTTTTTTTTTTCAGTATTCAGGATAGAACTTGGGACCTAGCTATTGCACGGCAGGTGCTTATGCTTCTGCTCTATCTCCCAGGATCACAATGACCATATTAAACTTATCTATTTGTAAGGCTTTGGGGGATGCTTTTCAAGGATTAGTTCTTTTCTTTAATCTATAATAAAATTGCTTCATTAATTTCTCATAGGAAATTTGTGGATAAGAGACCAGACTAGATAATTTGTCTCACTAAAAAATTAGTTCTTAACCACACTGATACTGAAAATGTTCTGAGAGCAAAAATCAAACTTGTTAAAACCTCCTGAAATAGGAATGTGCTAATGAGCTTTTGGGACTTTTCTTTTGAAGGCATTTATTCCTTAGATATAAACTATGACAATGGTTGAAAGGAGGTGACTTTTTCCAATCACAATAATCTAATCTTCTTTTATATATACTGTCTATATATTGTATAATGTGTTTTTATATTTGTAACTTTTGTGCTATTATTTAATCTTATGAAGAAAGTGCTCAAAAGAAAATAAATATTTTTTCACATAACTGATTTCATTTATGTATTATACAATACATTTTCAATTGTGAATGTTTCTATTAATGTTCATATATCATGATTATTTTTCTTCCATATATATGTATATTCTATATTCTATTGCATGATATTTGGGGAGCTAAATTTGATGTTACTAAATAAGATGATGTGTAATCTATTAGTTTAATTTATTACTCAGTTTTAACATAGTTTTTGACACCTGTTTGTATCTTTTCTCATATGAACAAACACAGAATCCCTTCTCCCACCCAGTTTAACAGGCTAACAACCACATAAACTGCACAATGACAACTATAGCAGCACAGATGTGTATGAGGCTAAGCATTGCAAGATAATTTATTTTCTACTTATTTTTATTAAATTTATTAAACTCATTTATGTGGGTTACATTCATATATACAAGATAGTCCATTTAAAAATCAAATGCACAACATAATAAACATAATGATTATATAAGGTATGCAACTTAATAAAAATTGATATGAAAACATAATTTCCACCAAGATACTGAAACATTTTATTACCTCAAAATTTTTTTCATGCTCCTTTGATTTGCTTCCCATGTTGCTAGACAAATACCACTCTGTTTTCTGTTCATGTAGTTTATCTGAATTTTCAAGAAATTTTCAAAATTAAATAATGCAGTGTGATAAACTTTACCTTTTTTCTATGACACAATTTTTTTTGAAATTCACCCATATTTTTGTACTAGGAAGTTTTTTTTCCTAATTTTTGCTAAATAACTTTCCCTTATGTGGAAAGACTACAGTAAACTGGTGGACAATTATAGCATTTTAACTTTGGGGATACTAGAAGTAAAGTTTTTGTGATTCTTTGTGTACAAGCTTTTCTATGGATATATGCTTTTTTAATTTGTTTTAGAAAGATATGTAGGACTGGAATAACTGGATCACATGGTAAGCGTATAACTTCATAAGAAACTATTTCCAAAGGAAGTTGTTTTTGCATTTTATTAGCAGTTTTAGAACTTTTAAAACTCAGACTTTTTAAATTTAGCCATTTTATTAGGTTTGTACTATTATCTCATTGTAGTCATTATAATTTGCATTTCTTTCTTAACTAACAATATTTAAGACCAACTTTTCATGTCCTCATGTGTCATTCTTATACCTTCTCATAGAGTTCTATTCATATTTTCTCATTTGTAAAAGAATACTTGCATTGTTGTTAAGTATTAAGAGTTCTTTATATATTTCAGACAAGACCATTATCAGAAATAATCTGTGCAAATATTTTCTCCCTAGAAGGCTGGCCAAATAGCTTAGTGGATTAAAGTACATGCTTAGGCAGACGCAACAGCGGGGGTTCCATCCCCTTTGTGCTGTACCAATCCTGCCCCTGGGGTGTGCTGAGATGGTTATTGAGACTGGGAATGGTGGCGCACGACTGTAATCCTAGCACTTGGGAGGCTGAACACAGGAGAATCACTACAAGTCAGATCTATGTAGTGAGACCTGGTAGACCCTTACTAAAAATATATATATAAAAAGTTCTCCCAACCTAGGAATTATTCATGTTCTCTTAACGTTGTTTTTTTTACTGTTTCAGAGAATACAAGGCTTTAATTGTGATGAAATCTAAATCATCTTTTTTTCTTTTAATGATGATGCATTTTGTGTTATTTCTAAATCATTGCCTTATCCCAAATTACAAAACTTCTATTTTTTTTCCTAGAAATTTTGTAGTTCTAGGTTTCACATTTAGGTTGAACACATGTTTTCATATGGTAGAAGATTTGGATTGATTTT